TGAAAAAGGGCAATGTCAACACTAGACAAATCAATCGACTAATCAATTTGTAAATTGTTCATCTCTATTTCCACCAGCTGCTCTAGTAATTCTTCAAGGAAACAAACCTCATAATTCTTTTAGTCTCTTATGTTTTAGAATTTTCAAATTTTAGGTTACATAGTTTCTTTTTATTTAGAAGAGAATCACTGGAGCTAGAATTTCTTGGCTAAATTTAGAGTTGTGGTTTGAATATGTTCATCTAACTCATTTTCTCAATTACACACAATCTTATTAATAAAATAACACTGAACCGAATGGCTAAACTCGATAAACTCATAAAGATTATACTAGCTCTAGATCCAGAGGAGGGCTGAGCCGTGGCCCGGGGTGGCCACCCCCTAGATCCGCCAGTGGGGTGAACCCATACGATATGATACCGTTGTTAAAATAATATTAAAGTAAGATAATGTACTCATTCAGTAATATATCGATATATGCTATTAATCAAATCGGTTGAACCCAAATACAACTTTTACTAGATTAAATTAAGTAACTATACAATGTCCTATGTTTCTACAATATCTAACAAGATCACACCTTAGGTATCCCTGGACTAGGACTATAGAGTGTGTGAATTTGTCAACGGAGTGGAGTTAAGTAAACAAAAAAGTACCTACTACTATCCATCTCATTTTGGTCCAATTAAGTGGCAGTGAACGTGAGAAATAAAAAAGCTAAGTGATAAATTTGAAAAAATTTCAAAGATTGGTGACCATCATTTGCATTTTAACCGATATATACTCTGTGGGCCCTGAAGAAGGATGGTCGGAGATATATGAGGAGTTAGGATTATGGATTTATGGTTAGAATTGAGGTTGCTTGCTAGCTAGGGTTGGGGAGGATTAGGCTAGGGTTTGCAACAAACATGAGATTTGAGCTGGATGCCACTCTGCTTGGCTTGTGTGACTTATCTTGGGGCCCATCCCCATGGAGCGTCACCAGAGGGTAATCAAGACCCTCCAGAGTTTTCATTCTTGGTTGTGTTGCTCCAGAAAAAGGAAAGGAAAAGGATGTGTTAATGTTTACCTAAGGGCAAATAAAATAAGTGAAGTTACTACGAATTGTGATAAACGGAATATGTTAAGCATGAAAACTCTTTAAGGGTGATAACCAGGCGCAATCAGTTTAGATATCTTTCATTCCTCAATTTTCAATTTAACGGTTGAGATTGCCCTAAGTTTATACTCTCGTACATGAAAAGGTAAGAGTTTACGTATATGAAAGCTTACCGCGCAAAACATTACAACTTTTCTCCATATGTTATAAACGGTCCAAAGTCGGGGCTGTAGAGTTTTTTTTTATAACCCAGTAACATTCACACGCACACCGCTTGAGCGATGACAGAGCGAGACCAAACCTTGGGATCACCTGCTTAAGCCCATTGGGCCCTCCATTAAGATCCTCATTAGCGCCACCAGGAACATCACGAAAGGACCTGATCAAGAGAAGTCGAACTCAGCACCTCACACGTACAAAACGAGTGCCCAAGGAGAGTTGACCAATAGGACTATTTCACCTTTGGCAGTCGGCTTTGGAGTTTAGCCTTCACTAAACAGGCTAATGTAACATTCTTTGGAGATAGTTAATTTTTGTAGATGGGGCCATTTTCTCCATTACTTTTAATCGACGTCGATGGGGGCATCACTTAATGTTGGATTATGTCATTTCTTAAAAGTAGGGACCAAATACATTATCAACGTTGTACCTTATTATATTCTTTCCCGCTACTACAGAATATTCATTCATTCATTCAGGAAATTACCGGTTACCTCTTCATGAAGACATGACTAGAAGTATACATGGTGTATTGGTGTTGCTAAATGCTAACCGCTGTTCATTGTCGTCTCATTAATATTAGCTCTTCGAGTCTCGACCAAAGAGGCAAAGACTGAGGGGACAAACTGTACGTGGTTTCTTTTCAGTTAAACAGTGTGCATGCAATTAGACATAATTAGTCTTTTGTCAGGGAATTAAGAAAGTCAAGAAGAAAACACTAGGGTTTTCTAGGAGCTAGGGGTGTTGTGTTATTACCCATGGCGGTGCAATGTCGATTACCTGTCTTGCCTATATTAAGCAGATAATTGGTCATGTGGGAATATTAAGGGTCGGAAGGTTGATAGTTACGTAAGCTGCTACTGTATTCAGTCTTGCAGAGGCTTCTTGAACACCGGCTTCAATATTTTTTTAACACCGGCTTCAATGTACGTACTATACTAATTAGTATTTAGTTTCTAACAATAATTAAATGAAAGTTAAAGTGGAATCCTTGCTAGCAATGGTATGGGCAAGTCCGGGTGGTATCTCGATATCCATACCCGCCCATGACAGGTCGGATAATTTATTGTGGGACGCGAGTCGGGACAGGTCGATCCAGTGGATACGTAATTTAAAAAGATCAAAAAACAAACCATAATATGATAAAATATACTTAAATTATTGGAGAATTGAGGTTTTCAGTTATTTACAACTTTATTATAACTAAAATATGAGCTAATAAAAGGAAAATCATAAGTAATCTGACTACGATTATATGTAATTTAGACAAGAACGGGTCGAGAATGGGCCGGGTCAGGACAAATCCCAAAATAGACCAAACAGGTCAGATAAAACGGATCAGGTCGAAATTGTCATCCCTACGTACCAACGTTTAACAAATTCTAAAACAGTAGATATTAGATTAAGTATTGGCTTTCTGTTTTTTTCTCTCCATTAGCTGAAAGTCAATTTACATTTTACAATAGGGAAGGAAATATGTTGGTGATGATAAAAGCTACAGTGAAGTCTCAAAATATCATATTGCTATGAAAGAGTCTTGTAATTGCTATGAAAGAGTCTTGTAAAAAGTGTATCAGAATAGACATCACTCTCTGAAGAATTAGGTTGTTGTACGACCCGTTGGTCGGAATGTCATGTCAATATAATGTATTTATGATATATATTTAAGTTTTTTAAATGATTTGTAATGCTGAATTTCGTATGACATTAATATGACATCAAAATTATTTTTCCATTTCTGAAATTCTTATAACTTTTCATCAATGATGAACATTGTAATCTTAATGGTAATAACCAAAGTTGTCAAATCGGTTTAAGTCGTTGAGCCGGTCAAGCAAATTGTTTGAAGTTTAATGGTTTGATTGAAGTCCATCCTGTTTGGGACGTTTTACACCTTTTCTAAATATATTTACATATAATATAGAAATTTTGTGACTGAAATGAAATGTACTAACTTATATATATATTAAAAACTCAAATTCCATAAAAAATACATATCTCAAGATTCACCCACCATCCCCTTGCCTCCCCCCCTCCCTTTGCCTTCTCTTCTTCTCCCTCTCTAACGATTAGACCCTTAGTTTTGTAGAGCCCATTTTAGAGCACGATTTTGGTCGGACCTAGTCCAAGCAGCTTCCCGGTATAGGTGTAACAACCTTGGTTGTAAGACTCATGAATAACCATTCATAACTTGTCTATTTAATGAAGTAGTCACTAGTTGCCTATGGTTGAAAAGAAAATTGGCATAAAAAAAAACAAGTTTGTCTGAATAAAGCGTAACATAAATAGGAAACTCATGAACATAAACTTTAGTCAATATTTATTTCTTTTGCTTGAGAAACAACACATATATAGCAATATTTAAACCTTAAAGTATTTTGCACAATACAATACCAAAATTATTAAGAAAATAACATTTTTCATCCATACTCTATGCAATATATGTGTTGGTTGTAACAACACATATATAGCAGCTTCCCGGTATAGGTGTAACAACCTTGGTTGTAAGACTCATGAATAACCATTCATAACTTGTCTATTTAATGAAGTAGTCACTAGTTGCCTATGGTTGAAAAGAAAATTGGCATTAAAAAAAACAAGTTTGTCTGAATAAAGCGTAACATAAATAGGAAACTCATGAACATAAACTTTAGTCAATATTTATTTCTTTTGCTTGAGAAACAACACATATATAGCAATATTTAAACCTTAAAGTATTTTGCACAATACAATACCAAAATTATTAAGAAAATAACATTTTTCATCCATACTCTATGCAATGAAAAAATTATTTATCAACCAACATATTCTAAATTTAGTTGAAGTACAATCTTATTCACTCAATAAAAAATTTAAACCTATCTTGTGGTACCTACCTTGCTAATGCACATGACCACATCAATGCGTCCATGAAAACTCTAGGTCGACTTTCATGATTTGTCTTGTACTGCGGTTATTTCATATTAAACTAAGTAACTATGAATGATACATATGATCAATTATCCTATAATATAAAAAAAATTTAAATAATTGAATTCATCTAGAAAAATTGGTATTCAGAAATTGTGTTCTTTTAAACTCACTCATTTGTCCAATCATGTCATATTATCAAGAGATTTAGGATTTAACGGTTAACCAAACGAAAATTTTCAAAAAATTGGTCACTTACAGTTTGCATAACTATATCGTTGCTTTCATAGTTATAAAAATTAATACCAAGTTAAGAATTCTACATCACATCTGCACATTAAATATTGCAATTCAATATACAATATTCGAATCAATGATATTTGAAAAATCAGAAGACGTTTTTGTATAATATAAAAGATAACGTTTCGATTTGGAGTTTTTCTAGTATGGCCAAGGATGGTAAATGGTAGTTCCATTTACCTCCTTGGACCTTGTTAGCCTTGTGAAACTCAACATTATTGTTATTGTCAAAAAAGAGGGCGAATAAGGAAAAAAAATCAAACACAGTTGTGGTTTTGTAGCCTCTAGTAGGACCTCCATATCTGAAATTCACTTTATTTCCTAAATATTAATTTTTTTTCAATTTTCCTGCAAGCCACCAATCACAAAAATTCAGGGACCATCGCTTACATATATCCTTTTCCCTCCTTGTCTTCATCCCCTTCACTTTGGCCCTCACCATCCCTATATAAACCCCTCCTCCCCTTCTCTTCCAGCGACATCAATCAAACCCACAAAAACAAAGAAATTTTCAGGCACAAAAAAAAAAAAAGAAAAAAAAAACTCGCTCAGCTTCAGGCCACATTTTCACAACTACGAGAATATGGCCTATGGATTCATCCCCTACACCCTTCCATTGCTCATAATTCTTCTCACTCTCTTCATAACCTGCCTGCTCATCAAACTCGCTAGACGCCGAAGCGACTCCGACGTCAGCCACATTCGACTGAAGCTCCCGCCGGGCTCAATGGGCTGGCCTCTCTTCGGCGAGACCCTCCAGCTCTACTCCCAAGATCCTACCCGTTTCTTCTCCAACAAACAGAAACGGCACGGCGAGATCTTCAAAACGCACATCTTGGGCTGCCCCTGCGTCATGCTCGCCAGCCCGGACGCTGCCCGCTTCGTCCTCGTAACCCAGGCTCACCTCTTCAAGCCCACTTACCCCAAGTCCAAAGAGCGCCTGATTGGGCCCTCGGCCCTGTTCTTCCACCAGGGCGATTACCACGCCCGCCTCCGCAAGCTCGTCCAGCGCGCTCTCTCCCTCGACGCCATCCGCAGCCTGGCCGGCGACGTCTCCGCCTTGGCCGCCTCCGCCTTGGAATCTTGGGACGGCGGCCACGTCATCAACACCTTCGAAGAGCTCAAAAAGGTTTTCATACTTATATATATATCCCGCTTTTGTTTTTTTATTTACGGACGGTAATTTTGTTTTGTACGTCGGTAAAGATTAGAACTATTTGACACATTGCATTATTTGTTATTTGCAGTTGTCCTTCGAGGTTGGGATCCTGGCGGTTTTCGGACACCTGGAAGCCCATTACAGGATAGAGTTAAAAAAGAATTACGGCATCGTCGAAAAAGGCTACAATTCCTTTCCCACCACCATGCCTGGAACTCCCTACAAGAGGGCTCTTACGGTGAGTCCAAACAAACAAACGAAATTAACTAATTATTAAATTTACAATGCCCATGTCATCATCACTTAATTAATGTTAATGATAAATAATGTTGCAGGCTCGGAGGAAGCTGAGTGAGATATTGGGGGCCATAATCAGCGAGAGGAAAGAGAAGAAGCTGTTGGAGAACGACATGTTGGGATGTCTGCTCAACTCCAAGGACTACAAAGGGCAGGTGTTGACGGACGAGCAGGTCGCCGACAACATCATCGGAGCTCTGTTCGCCGCACAGGACACGACGGCCAGCGCCATGACATGGATTGTCAAGTACCTCCACGACAACCCGAAGCTTCTCGACGCTGTCAAGGTAATAAACGAAGCAGGTGTAGGTAGCTCTAGAAACCTCCCCGTAGTTTGCATTAAATTTTGAGGGACTAAAATGTTGAATTTTGTGAAACTCTTTTTCTGCATATAGGCCGAACAGAAGGCAATTCAAGAGGTGAATGAAAGAGACGGCACTAATAGTGAGTCGACGCTGACCTGGAGTCAGACTCGTCACAATATGCCATTCACTCACAAGGTATATAGCATAATTGCTACTCAGTTATTTATAAACCATGTTGTCAGTTGTCTTGTCACCAAATGATTTGATTTTAGGGAACTAATTTGTCAACCAAATTGAATTCAGGTGGTTTTAGAGAGCTTGAGGATGGCAAGCATTATAGCTTTTACGTTTAGAGAAGCCGTGGCCGATGTAGAATATAAAGGTATCATATCTAACATCTTACTACATATGTTATTATGAGAAAGTTCACGAATAATGCGTATTATGACGTTTTTTTGCTTGCTTTATTAAAATTTGGTCAATATTTTGTGGAGATTGGAGAGTGACCCGAGACTTGAATTTTTATTGGGTGTTTTTGTGTGGTATTTTTAGGGTACCTTATTCCAAAGGGTTGGAAGGTGATGCCTTTATTCAGGAACATTCATCACAATCCAGAATATTTCAGTGACCCCCATAAATTTGATCCTTCAAGATTTGAGGTATGGTGTGTGAATCAAATCTTTTTTTCTTCCCTTCCTCCCAAAATGATAGCGTGGGAGATATGGGATTTTGATCTTAGTTTTAACCTGTTTCTCTACAGGTGGCACCAAAGCCCAATACGTTCATGCCATTTGGCAATGGGGTACATGCCTGCCCTGGGAATGAGCTTGCCAAGCTGGAGATGCTTACCATGATCCACCATTTGGTCACCAAGTTCAGGTAAATATATTATTACTAATATGAAGAAACAAAAAATAAAAATATCTTTCTGGGTTTTTTTCTTTTTGTATGGTAGAGTAAAATTAGATGTGGGGATCTTGGAGAATATTTCTCAGCCAACAAAAAAATTGGGGGGACAAAATTGAAAGGAATAATATTTTGATTTGTCCTTTTCCTTTCTTTGGTTTATAATTAATGTTCTGATTGTCCAATTGATTGAATATATTGCAGGTGGGAAGTGGTAGGATCGGAGAGTGGGACGCAGAACTGCCCATTTCCAGTGCCAATGAATGGACTCCCAGCAAGATATTGGAAACAAGTCCCCAGCAGCTAGGCCTAGCTAGGTTTAAGATATATAGTAGAGAATGATTATGATCAATTTGGGTTACAATTTACCCATATAATTAGCTTAATCTTAGCTATTATGTTATTGGACCAACCAATTTTCAACTTCTTTGTACCCAATCTTTGGCCCCGATTTTGGCCATAATCAATGTCTGATCCAGTTAATGGGGGAAAACCCCCTATTAGGGAATGCTAAGATGAGTGTTTCCCAGCCATACCCTTTTTCATCGGCTGCATTTTCCCATGTGATTATAACAAGTTCAATTATAAATTCTAGTGTAGTTGTTCAACCGAAGCACTTAAATGGTGCCTTAATTATGAGGTGCGGATAGTATAACAACAGTCTAATTGTTGTTATTATAACAACAAGGGTAACAAGGAAAATTACAAAAAAATAACTAAATTAAATTAAAAGTAACCCCTCTTCCTCTCCGACGCATATCCGAACCATCAACAACAACCGCTCAATATCCTCCGCCACCTCTCAACCTCCTCCATCCAAGCTGTTTCTCCCTCCATCTGGTTTCGACGCCGACGGCACGCCGATATTGATCCCTCGATTTCAAAGGCACAAGCATCATTAGATCTTCCTCTCTTCGATTCGTTTCCGTCTTCCCTCAGATTTGTGGCTGTGGAATCGACAATGATTGGGCCAACGACGACAATAGAGATTGGATCGGCTGGAACAGAATGTTCATAGACTATGCCGTTGTGGAAGTGGAATCCGGTAGGGAGATTTTTGGCTGCTTCTGGAAATCAAAGCCGACGGCGGCGGAAGGAGTTCACAAGGTGCAGAGCGAGATGATCAAGATCGCGAGGGAGCTAACCAGATTTGCTCATTTGTGATAACTTTATTTCAGAGCGCTGAAAGAGTTCTTTTCTGGTCCTCCTTTTCGAGGGCTTGTAACTCTGTGTTGACTCATGATTCTTCTTCCTTCACCGTGCTGATTCCGCTCTTCTTGTTGTTTCAATACCAACGCAACAAATACCCAACCCAATTCTTGATTGATTTTGTCCAGATCATAAGCACACCAGAAATCTTTTAATGCAGACCACAAAGACGATAAAACAATCCACAAAAAGCGTACTAGAAACCTCCCAATCCATACCACAAATCCCCTAAAACAAACCAAAAATCCCACAAAGCATACTACAAATATTCCGAAAGCAAACTAGAAACACAATAAACCAAACCAGAAACCTTCTAATGTAGACCACAAATCTCCTAAAATAAATCACAAACCTCACAAAGCAAACCACAACTTTTGTGAAAGCACCAGAAACCTCCTAATGCAAACCACAAATACAGTAAATCAAACCACATAAAAGCAAACCATAAACGTCCTAATGCAGACCACAAATATATTAAAACAAACCAGAAACCTCACAATGCAAACCACAAAATTTTTGAAAGCAAACTAGAAACTTTTTAATGCAAACCACAAACACGATAAAACAAACCACAAAAGACAAACAAAAATATGAGAAACCAAACCATAAATCTCACAATACAGACCATAACATCCGGTGGTGGTTAACCGTTGACCAGTCAACGAAGTTCGTTGACCAAACTCCGATGACCGTCAGTAAGTAGATTCTGACGCTGATAGGCATATTCCGGCCCCGATGACTAGATTTCGACGTCGGTAAGCATATTCTGACCACGGTGAGCATATTCTGGCGACTGTGAGCATATTACGACGACAAAATAGCATATTCCGGCGACAAAAAGCATATTCCGGCGACAAAAAGCATATTCCGGTGACCGGCGACCAGATTCCGGTGGCCGAATTCCGACGACCAAAATTTTGGGCAGAATCTAAAATTTTTTATTATATTTTTTTTATTATTTAAATATATTTTTCATAATGAAAATTCTACCCCTGCTTTGAATTTACACCAGGTCAACTCAGCTAATAAAAAGTCATTACAACCATAACTTCCTATATGTTGGAGACTAGTGTTGTTACAATAACAACACAAGGGGTGTTGACACACTATCTAGTCCCTTAATTATGATTCTCATAGCCCGTGCTGTTAGTTCTTTTTATCAAATTTTGGGTCTTTGATGTTTGGCTCAATTACTTCTTAGTGCATATCTTAGATGGGTGTTACTCGATGCGTTAAGTTTGGGAGAGATTGAGGACATATCTTTCTTTCATTCTCTCTTGTCAAGCTGATTCACAGATCTTATTTCCAGATCTAACTCTAATGTTATTCGGTGATTTTTTTTTTCAATTAAATCACTCGTCTTATCGAGTAAAAGGAAGATAAAAAAGTGAATACAATGACTGAAGCCATGACGCAACATCAAACCCCCCAATAAATTAGGGTACATTTAAATGACTTTCCGCCATCAAGTAGAGAACCCTGTAATTCACTGACGACCAATAAACCTGACATTAAACCCCTGATAAATTCCCGCAAGTATGGTCCCGCCACGAGCCTTTGAGGCAATCCCCTCCTTGACCTTATCGAAGACCAGCATCGCATCTTCGACAAACACCACTCTTGAGAACCACTATGGACAGCTCCATCTATTCTACTAGGATATGCATTTGTCCAAGCCATAACATTATATGTGTGATTTCTTTTCAAATTACATACAAAATAGATAAACTTACTCTCGACAGGATTGACTCTTCGTCACCATCCCTTGACATTGTTAATACAATCAAGTGTTGAAATACCGGCCGATCATGTCACATGCTACACATATTTATTATAACAAATAGAGATGCATTTTTTTCAAAATGAAAATATGAGATCCAGAACCTAAACTTTAGCAAGGTAGTTCCTTTGGTTCTTGTGCGGAGGAGATATATATTTTAGGAATTAGGACACCACTACTATCCCACTTTAGCTAGGTTTCTTCGGTTGATTGCTGCTCGCTTTTGTCTTTCTCCAGACGTCTTATATATACATACTAATTGGTTGGACATTCCCCTAAAATCGCATCCCCACCGGCGCATAAAACTTGGTGTGTGGCAGCTAGTAGTCGATTATACATATGACTTCGAGTATTCATTTTGGGCCGCGTGGCACCTTGAGAAACAGCCACCACACAAATATTGCATCAACAATGGCCCTCCCCTCTCTTTCCTCTTAAGAGGCAACCAGGGCTCACAAGGAAGGCCATGATCGAGGTACGTTGCAATCTTTGTTTTGGCTTAATAATTGTTCACTTATTGAAGAAAAAGTCACGACCTTTCTGGCTGGAAGGCACCCATCATCAATTCCATTCCCTCTTTTGGTTTGGTACACAAAGATTGCAGACCTTTTTGAGACTGATCTGATCTCACCACAATACCACATGACCCTACAAACGATGGAGCTTGATTATACAGTATGGAGAATGATCAGAGTCATGAGCTATGAGTTATAACCTTCAATATGTACAAAATACAATCGAGTTATCCTTTATATAATGTTTGAATAAGCAAGAAAGAATGTAGCAATAGTGTAAGTATTGAGAACTATATAGACTATTGAAACACAAGTTTCAATTTAGTTTCAGACCTTGCAATATTTGTGCATGCCATACTTATACATACATATTATCCCTCAGTAGAAAGCACATTTTCCCACCTTTTGTTTTGTTACATAAACATAACCTAACCTGTCATTACAATTATTGAGAATGAGTGAGGAAAATTGACATAATCTCGATTGAGACTCGAACCCAACACCTTGCTCAAGCCCGACCCCAGTAGATGAATGGATTGTCAATTAACAAACCTTATATCCAAACTATGTGTAAAAGGCTTTTATAAAACTATATTTTAGTGATGATAGTATTTGAATTCAAAACTATTTAATAATCATTGAAGATTGTATTATGTTGCTGAATACCCTTAATCAAAATTTTGTGTCCGCCACTAGCTAGCCTTGATAGTATTGACTGTAAACTGAAATATCTCTGATACTCCTCTCCAGCATCATTTACCGTATTTTTATCATTCAAAAGAAATCTTTTAGAGCAGCAATTTACATTTTTCACCAATTCAAATGAGCCAACTCAAACTGAAAATGACTGAACATTGACAACTCACAGAAAATTTACCATTTCCTCTTCAGAGCCATGAAAGAAAAGTTTACCATTTCTGCGACATGTTACAAATGTGGGTGTCCCTTGAAGAAAACACGTGAATCTGTAATGATGGTGGTACGCGGGGAAAGCACAGAGTGTCCACTGACAGTTTTGCCTTGCAGCATAGCTACTTCTGTTTTTAAACTCACGGAAGAGAACTAGCTGTGGGCACGCAGTAACTTTTTTTTTTTTTTTTTGTATCCTCAAATGGAATCATCAATTCATATACCTGTTTGTAAACATTTGTCAGAGCTGTGCGCTACTAAGTTTTGGGCCACTTTGCATTCAGAAAACTGGTCCTTTTTTCATGACAGGGCTTCCCCTGGTGATCTACTTACTACTGTGACGAGAACACCACAACAATATACATGGCATGTTGAGCAGTTGAGCTTCCTGAGAGTTTTTACCAAACATGTGTTGTCAGAAAGCCCAGTCAAACAGACTGACAATATCAGTGACTTCAATGAAGGGGGGTAATTAGGATCTTTGAATTTTACTTACTTTAAAGGGAGTCTTGATAATACCAATTTGTTTCAAACCCTGGTCGTCGAATAGAACTAGTTGTTCAACCGCAAAAGCAAAGGATTGATCTCCATCGGGTCAGGTATGAGCGTGACCACCATTTCTCATAATTAGAGTTGACAAACAGATTGTATTCATGAATTTGGTTCACATGCATTGTGATAGAAACCTATTTCTAGGTATTTATCGTTAGGGTTGGAAAATTGGCGATTGAAGGAGATTTTAGGAATTGAGAAGAGATTAGGGATAGCGATTGAAAATTTGGGTAAGAACTAAGAACAGACAAAAATGGCCGGCGGCCTAGGTAGAGGTGAAGACGAGATTGAGAGGAGAAGATTAGGGTTTTGGGAGGGATAACTTTCTTATTAATTTCTGCTTAATTCAACAAAAGACCCATAATACATATTTATAGCTAAAGTCCGGAAAACCTAATAAACTATCTTAATACGACTCAATGACACTAACCATATCTAATAATATCCTAATTATAGTAATAATAATTATTATGATAGAACCCAAAATTAGCTTTCTATCATCTCCTTCCTCTTGAGACAAACCTTGCCTTCAAGGTTGAAAGACTCGACCCACTTTCCCACGTCGTTCGTGCACCTTGCACCTTGACTCTTCCATGTCTCGCATTTCCTTTTCTTCCAATCATGCCCCGACTCGACTTGGGCTTCTTGCATTAATTTCTTTTGCCAGTCCAACTCTTCGAATTTAACTTCCATGGGCCCACCCTTCGCTTCCTTGGCAAATTCGAGCTTCGTTAGCTCTTCTTTTGTTGGCCTCACAATCCAGCAACTCAAGACGGCCAAGAATTCGTTCTTGTTTAAGAACCCATCCTTGAGTATCATTTCATCAAGACTTGCAAACATCCCCTTGGAGCTAGCCCATACTCTTGCCTTGTTGTCTCTATAATTGCTTTTGGGCTCTGTTCTTTAAAAAGCCCACCGGCCCAATCATTAAACTCACCATTTTCTTCATTCAAGTCCATTTTTTTCAAAGAACAACCCACCCTGAGCCCAATTCGTTCCATAAGATTCAGCCCATAAAAATGCTCTTTCTCAACCCGCTTCTCCTCAACTCTCGGTCCATAATCAATCCTTTGCTTTAACTAATTAATCTCAAGCTGAGGACCATTTGGTTGAACCCACCGACCTGACCCAAGCTCAAGCGTGGTCAGCCTACTCTGCTCCTCTCTCAGCCCACTCCGGCACCCGGCTAGGGTCCAGGAAGCTGCCCTAGGGTTCGTGCGGAAGGACCCGATGCCCCCGCCCTCCTTCCTCTGCTCGCTCGTCGTCCACCCCTTCCTCGGCGATGATGGGCTCCTCTGGCGGCGGAAAAGCCAGTCCACCTCCGCTGCGGTCCCGACGGCGACTCCTTCTCGACTACCGAATCCAGCGAGGCTTCTTTCCTAGGCGATGGACCCGACCAAATCTGCTTCGCCTCTTTCTCCTGATCCGCCGTCTCCTCTTTCTTTGGCCGTGAATAACTCTCTAGGTGGTGACAATCCCAGCTCAATTCCGGCCTCATCACCTTGCCGTTCGTCGCGTCTTCCACTAGATCCGCCCCCGAATTTGACTCATCTCGGCTCGATGGCGCGACCGAACCCGTCGCCAATTGCCGTGTACCGCGCGCCATTCGGAGCTTCGGCACCTCCACGTCGCGTTCGTTGTTGATTCCGGCTCTGGGCTCCGGCTTCCACTTCTTCTTCTTCTTCCTCGGCGAGTACCCGTCATCATCGCCCTCCTTCTTTCCCCGCGGTGATGAGCTGCTCCCCCGTCGTCGCGTCGTCCCTCTTGCTTCCAGTCTGACAGTCAGCCTTGTCGCCTCGGTCTCCTTCGCTGGCTTCAGTTTTCGTTCCTCCTCCGTCGGCCGCGCGCAAGCCATTAGACGGCGACAAGGTGAGCTCGCTCTCGGCCTCATCTTCTCCTCCTGGCTCGACGACACCTTCCCTGGTGGCGTACAATGTCGCCGGCGGGAAGGCCAGCTCACTACCAATCTTGACTTCGCCTTCGCGGTCTCCTCGCTCGTCTCCATCTCTGGCGTCACATAGGCCGAAAGCTTTTCCGCGCCCGGATGCTCCATTCGCACCTCGCCGTCATCCCCCGAGTCAACCTGTGCCTTCCATTGCTATTCTCCTGCTGGTGCGGCGGCATCCCCGGTCGGCAGCTGTTTCGCTGTCGCCTCTTCGTCGTTGTTGTGGACTAGAAGGTCGGTGATTTTGGGAATGATGATGATGGAATTGTGTTTCCCAAAACCAGTGCGATATTCGCCAAGGTTACATATAGCTCTGAATCGAATAAGCTTCTCGAACCGGATCCATTTGTGTCCATCATCCAATGGTCGTTGTCCCGTTATTGCTAACACATCGGATCCAATCCTCTACACTGCCACGTGCTCCTGCTCAAATCTAGGCAAGGTGAAGAACATGATAACTCGATTTCGCAGATCCAACCTCATGATGTTGGGTATGAGTTCTTCATATACCCGTTCGCCCCCGGTTGAGACTTCTGATGAACTCAGATTCGTGACCATGACTCTGATACCAGATGATAGAAACCTATTTCTAGATACTATCGTTAGGGTTAGGAAATTGGGGATTGAATGAGATTTTAGGGATCGAGAAGAGATTAGGGATAGAGATTGAGAATTTGGGTAAGAACAGACAAGAATGGCCGGCGGCCTAGGTAGAGGTTAAGATGAGATTGAGAGGAGAAGATTAGGATTTTGGGAGGGATAACTTTCGTATTAATTTCTGCTTACTTCAACAAAAGACCCATAATACATATTTATAGCTAAATACCGAAAAACCTAATAAACTATCCTAATATGACTCAATGACTACTAACCATATCTAATAATATCCTAATTATAGTAATAATAATTATTATGATAGAACCCAAAAATTAGGTTTCTATCACATTGTTAGATTGATGAATTGACAAATTATATTCATAGATCCATGTTACATCTAAACATTGGACCAACGTGCAAATTTAAAATAGGGTAAATACAATTTAATAGCCAAACCTTTTGGGTTTAAACAAAATAATAGCCAAACCTTTTTTAAAACAATTTAATTGTCAAACCGTTAACTTTCCATTCGGTCAAACATTAGTTGACTATGATGTGGCAAATTTTTTTGCTGAGGTGGAATGAATTTGATGATGTGGCACAAAATCAAACATTTGACTGTGCCACATGGATAATTATAATTTTAACTAATTCTTATATTCTTATGAAAAAGTTCAAAAAAGATTATCTTGTATCTTCTCTCCCTCCCTTCTCTCTCACTCCAGAAACTCCTCCGCCGCAGCGGAAGACAACCACCTCTTCGACTTGAGAGGATTGACGGCGACGAGGGTTTCGGGTGGAGTCCGCTGATGACAACCTCCGACGACCTCCAAAGATGGGTTCTTCTGCATTTCTGGGGCGGATTGAGGTGTTGATGGGTTCTTCTTAGGCGGGTCAATTTTTCTGGTTTATGGGTTCTTCTACAAAAAATCACTGGACAAATCCAGGCATTGCTGGGTTCTTCCATAGCTTGACCGAGTCAAAGGCCCGATGGAGGCATTGGGGTTCTCTCTCAAGTCTCAACTACAGATCTGGAAACTCAAATTCTCCATCGCTCGATCCACTATTGGAGCAGCTCCACCGCAGCGGGTGATGATGATTGAGAGGCGATTGTAGAAGAAGAGATGGATGGGGAATCAGATGGGGAAGCTGCGGCGGTGGGAGTGGAGCCTATGGTTGTGAAAACAATTGGGGATTTTGCTTTGGAGTCGAAGGAGGAGTAGATAACTTTTGGGTGGAACTGCCGACCAACATCAGCAAGATACTCTGTTGGAGGTTGTGAACGATGACGCTCCTTGTTACTGATCGGAGAGATTCGCCTTACCTTCGTGGCTCCTTCAGTTTCCTCCTCCTTCGCCATTTTCCCGACCATCTCAGCACCGAACTCGTTAATCCCCAGCGAGATTTGTGGCCTCCCTCATAGGTTTCCCTCCTCAACCGATTGACTTCTTCTTGATTTCCATATCACTAGCTACCACCTAAAGCAATGCAGATCTAGATTTTCATATTAGTAGCCCGGATTCCGCCTCTGCTCCCCTGAAATCGACGACAAAGACATAGGGGAAGAGAATTTCAAGGGTTCTTGCCAAGAACATCAAGTAGAGGTCCAGAAGGAGGTAAAACTTGGAGGACTGGATTGGGCTTTGATTTAGAGCAGAGACTGATAGGTGAGGGAATCAGAAAGGAGGGGCTTTGATTTGGATTTTGGAGCAGAGAGAGGTGTGAGAATCGGAAAGGAGGAGGGGGTTTGATTTGGAGGAGAAAGAGAGAGGGAGAGGTGTGGGAATCGGAAAGGAGAAGGAGGGACTTGATTTGGAGCAAAGATCCGCAGTGGGAGATTTGGAGTAGAGAAAGAGGAGTGTTTATTCATTTTTCAGATTTTTTTTAAAGAACTAATATCCATATGGCAGTCAAGAGTTTGACTTTTTGCCACGTCATCAAAATCCATCCATCTCATTTAATTTTTTGCCACATAAGAGTCAACTAACGGTCAACTGGATGGAAAGTTAACGATTTGGCTATTATTTTGTTTTTGAAAAGGTTTGGCTATTATTTTGTTTAAAACGAAAGGTTTGGCTAATAAATTGTATTTACCCTTTAAAATATGTAAGTACTAAAATGTCATAATAAATTATTTTAGGTACCAAAGCATAATTTTTCAATGATATTTTACTTTGAACAAATAAATGGATTGCACTAATTGGATATGTATATGTTAGTGGATGAATTGAATTGGTGGATTGGATTTGTAATCCTCAGACATAGAACTGCAAATTTTTCTTTTCACTTGATATCCAAGGATATTGAACGTTAAAGTACATCAAACAGGATAATCTATAACATTCGATCTCCAGGGGTATTGAACGTTAAAGTACATCAAACAAGGATAATCTATAACATTTTTCTATACACACATCAAAGGCACATATATATATCCATACAACATCCGAATCAAAGTCGCTTCAATTCTAGTTCCATCAGAAACAGAATCAAAGCTCATACCCTCTAATGTCGACTTGGGGTACGGTCAGTAACTATTGGTTACTGACATATGAGTAACTAAATCTGGACCTATAGATATAAGTGGATCTAGTAAATCCAGATCTAAGGGTTGTGAATTAAAGACATTTTATTTTTCCTAATTTTCTTAATCGGCTCTTATCTTCTTCGTTCTAACTCGGATTATAATATTTTTTGCACAGGTGGAACGAGTCCGTTGTGCTCTACAAAATGAGATCAACTTTCAATACATTTCGAGAAACTTTTTTTCATACCTCCCGTTACCAACTACATACAATATAGTAACTTCTTCGTTTTTAAGTAGTTTTTGAAAACGTTTGCTCAGAAGGCACGCGTTCATCATGATCTATTGGATCTAAAAATTTCTGGGTGAAAAAAATATAGGACAAAAAATTACCATACTTTACCACAATGGTATTTGAGTGGTAACTTGTGATAAACAATGATGAAAGTCATAAATGACAGTTAGTATACTCCTACTATCATGTATTCAACCTTCCTAACATATTGGTATGTCATACCATCATGGTACGCTTTCTTACCATATGGTATTAAATAGGAGCATACCATATAGTAATGACTGGTAAACAATGCCTCAATTTTTTTTTTTGTACTAAAAATATACCAAAGTGAATATCATTTTAAAGAGCACATTTAATCTGATTTATCTATGAAAAAAAATTTAAATTTCGACTTAAAACGAGAGAGAAATCGTCCATTAAAGATTATAGGGAAAAGATAAAAGGCTTTCCAGGAGAGAGAGGGATGCTGATGTCATGCTGATGTGGACGGGTTACTCATGGTTACTCACCGTAAGGTTACTGAACTGATCCTCGCTCTCTAATGTCCTCATTACCATTTATCGGCAAGACCAGAGACTCCCTTAGTTACAAATGGACCGTATATGTTGCCTGCCATTACTTTTCTTGGGAGGAAGGAGAAAAAGACGCAATGTATTTAAGAATAGCCTCTGTGATTCGCTGTTTGTGTCGGGTAGCAAATGCTTCCCCTAAAACTCCATATTTGTAGAAATGGAAAAGCGACACCGTTTGCAACACCAAAGACCACCCCGTGATACAAACAAGATTACTAACACTTCCCTTCACAACCAAAATCAGTCAGAAAAGAAAGGATTTCCTTACCCTAATCCGAAGCCTCTCGGCAACATCGGATTCTTCATCGTATTCGTCGATCACCTACAACAACGAATCACCCCTACCAGGATAAACAAATTGGGGTTAATTCACGGAAGCAAGAAAAGGGTACTTAGTACTCACATTGTGCTTCAAGAAGATGAAGAGAGCGCCCTCATCGCCAGAACCCTTGAATAGCTTGGAAAACCCCTATTCAATGTACTTACAGCTCCCACACGAAGTCCTGTAAAAATCAACCACTTCAAGCGCCCCAGTAGCCTTGGATTTCTCAATCGCCTTCAAAAATTCCTCGTTCGTCTTGAATTCCCCCCTCCTACAATCCACTGGACATAACTCATCTTCTTCCTCCTCTTCCATGGCCGATACTAATTCAATTAGGTTCCGTCTCCTGCCAATGTGCGCTTAATCGAGCTCCCCTGTATTCTGATTATGGGCATAATTACTCTAATCGCCGAACAATGAGGAGCCGGTTTCTGGATCATACCAACTATTCTTAGAGAGCGGGCGAACTGGGGATCCAGGTTGGTTCCAAACTCGGCATATGATTTGGAATATGGAATCTTCAGCCTTTCCATAGCAAGATCAACTTCTGGGTCTTACTTTCTCTACTCGAAAATGAAATGGAGACACAAAATCTCGACAAGGTAATAAGTTGGTCTTTTTTTCTTTGGGCCGAGTTAATCACAACCGACCATAATGGAATCTGTTATCCACAGAGGGAGATGATAGAACCATTGACATGATCAAGCCTAAAGGAAGAAGAACTGGAGCTGCCTTCTGCAATCCTGGTTGTAGAAGGATTTGGAGTAGAGAAGAAAAGAAAGGGAGAAACGGTGACGTTCAATGGATTGATGAGGTCGTGGAAGATAAGCGGAAGAAAATGACAACATTTCCTTTATTAGTCATTAGTCGTTAAGTTTACTGTTTATTTAAAAGCTTTAGCCAATCTTGTATGGACAAGTGTCTTGTTTTCGTTTAATTGCTCTGTTTGATATAAATGAATAGAGAGGACCCAAAGTATGTTGAGCTCCTCTTTCCAACCATTGTGCAAATTCTCCATGGTATCAGAGCTTCCGCTGTTCTAGGGTTTGTCCGGAGACTACAAAATGTCATCGAGGCAGACTCCACCATAGACACCGCCGAACAATGGAAGCACCAGCAGTGGAACCACGTCAACAGCAGGAGCAACTGCAGGGGTTCGTTTTGGTACCTTTGACCAGAACCAGCTGCAATCTGAGACAGTTGTTTTCGGTAATCCTTATTACCTTAACCCAAATGAAAACATGTCTCAATCTCTAGTTTTTGAACCCTTTGATGGAACCAGCTATGTAATGTGGAGTAGATCTATGCAAGTTGTTTTGAAAACGAAGAACAAGGTTGGATTTATAGATGGGTCGATCCCAGTGCCTCCTCGAGATGTAGATATGTTTGGATTGTGGGATGTTTATAATAAAATGGTCCTATGTTGGATTCAGAACTCCATGAACAAAGAACTTAGGAGATCCGTATTGAATCACAACAATTCTAAGACACTGTGGGATGAGTTGAAGAGGCGATTTGGTCAACCCAATGCCATGAGTATTGTGAACCTAGAGGATGAAATCCAGGCTTGTGAGCAGGGTTCTAGGTCCATTACTCATTATTACACTGCTATTAAAGGACTCTGGGATGAATATGTCGAGTTTAGTCCTATTACACCTTGTAGTTGTGCACCTGGAAACCCAATTCCTTGTGCATCTGTTGCTTCCTTTGTGCAAAAACAAGAGACAGACTATCTGATACATTTCTTGAGAGGGCTTAACCCAGACTATGAAGTGATCAAGACTAAATTACTGATGCCAAAACCTCTTCCATCAGTATCATCAGCTGTAGATGACTTACTTCGGCATGAAAAAAAATTGAAGGCTGACACAATTATGGGTAAAATGAAGGGACAAAGTTTGGCCTTGGCAGTTGGTAGAAACAATTCGAGGGACAGTGAAGATTCAAGAGGAGAGAAGTTTTGCCTATTTTGCAAGATGAACAATCATACTATTGAAGATTGTTGGAAACTGAAAAGGAAACAAGAAATGCAGAAGGAAGTACTAATGGAGAATCAAATTTCAGCTCTAGTTCCAAATCCAGCACACCAAGGTTTGATGGGCCTATCTCTCAATGAAGTGGAAATGGCAGTGCCACAGAGGGAAGTGTGGTCAATGAGGGTAAAGTTTCTGCTCCTCTTGCCTTCACCCCTAAAGAGATGAATCGTCTCAAGTACCTTTTGAAGGCTGATGCTAACACACAACCATCTCCACCTACCTCTCCATCTCTTAACCATCAAGCCTACTCAGCTACTCATCACCCTACTACATTCCCCAAGTTCTCATGAAAACATGTCATGTCGTCCTCTCCAAATTCAAAAACCAATAACCCTCACTTATGGATTGTAGACACAGGAGCCTCTGATCATATTGCCTGTAGTCCTAGTCTCTTTTATAGTTACAAGCCAGTTCATGATTCTTTTGTCTATCTCCCAAATAGCTCTAAAGTTGCAGTCATTCATGTAGGGATAGTTCAACTAGCTTGTGGTTTAACCCTACATGATTTCCTTTTTGTCCACATTTTTCATTCAATTTGATTTCCGTTAGCAAGCTTACACATGATTACCCCTTCTCCTTACACTTAGATTATGATAAATGTGAAATTCAAGACCTGTTAAGCCAGAAGAAGATTGGTTTAGCCCACACAACTAGAGGTATCTACCATCCAGCCTTACCTTCAAGCTTCACCAAGCCTTTCACCACTGAGCACCAACACCAAGCAGTTTTCTCCTTCAATTTCCAACCCCAAGACTTGAACCTGTGCCACTGGAGGCTAGGACGCCCTAGTCACAATATGCTCTCTTTGCTTAGTTCTATAATCCCTACCATTTCCAGATCTAAGACACTTCAATGTGATGTTGTCATTTTTCTAAACAAAGAAAACTCTCATTTCCTATTAGCACCAGTGTTGCACCTAAGACTTTTCATTTAATGCGTATGGACATTTGGGGTCTCTTGTCTACTGTTTCTTATGATAGCTATTCATATTTCCTTACTATTGTGGATGACCATTCAAGAAGTGCGTGAGTGTATTTAATGAGGCATAAGAGTGAAGCTAGAGGGACAATCCAAGGCTTCTGTAGTCTGGTGAAAAAGCAGTTCAATACCATTGTCAAGGTTATCAGAACTGATCAAGGTAAGGAATTTGAAATGTGTGAGTTCTTCAAAACAGAAGGGATTGAGCATCAAGTTTCATGTGTGGAAATCCCAGAACATAATGGAATAGTTGAGAGAAAACACCGCCACATCCTTAATGTTGCTAGATTCTTGAAGTTTCAATTAGGCCTTCCTTTATCCCATTGGAGTGATTTTATTCTCCATGTCGTTTATCTAATTAATAGGATCCCTACTCATGTCTTAGATAAAAGAACACCTATGAGATTCTTTACAAGCAAGCAATTTCTTGGGCACTTGAATGTGTTTGGTTTTCTTTGTTATGCCAACACACTACCTCATGGTAGGACAAAGTTTGCTCAAAGAGCTAGGCAGTGTGTATTTCTAGGTATCCCTGTAGGTAATAAGGGTTACAAGGTTCTAGATATACATGAAAATAAAGTGTTTTTCTCCAGGGATGTCTCTTTCTATGAGAGCATTCTACCCTTCAAAACTTAAGTTGTTTCTATCCCTTCTCCTTCTACCTCCACTCCACCTGTTCCACTTATCTCATCTCCTCCACTTCATGTTCCCTTTCCCATTGTCTCACCTGTCTCACATCCAGTTTCCCCTCATGCTCAGTTACATTCATCCACAGATGAAAGGGGGCACACTGAGCCTGAGGTGCTAACTGAGATAGTTTCTATTGGTTGCAATGATCATTACGCATATTTTGATTATGATGAGCTAGAACTTCATATATATGCTGACATTGATCCTGATGATCCCAATACACTTGAAACTAGGAAGACTTCAAGGAAGATCAACCTGCCAACCAAGTACAAGGATTACCAGTTAGATCCCACACTCAAGTTTGGTGCTTTTGGAAGTAGTCAAGCATACATCAAGCACCCAGCCTATTTGAATGTCCATTCATTGAGCAAAGAAGATCGGTGTTACTCCCTTAGTGTGATAAACCATGTTGAACCAAGATCTTATTATGAAGCCATCAAGTCTGATGTGTGGAATAGATCAATGAAGGAAGAGATGTATGCCCTAGAAGAGAACCAGACTTGGGATATGGTTCCCTTGCCTCTAGGAGTGAGAGAAGTGGGAAACAAGTGGGTTTACAAGATAAAGATGCATTCAGATGGATCCTTGGAAAGTAACAAAGCAAGGTTAGTTGCCAAGGGGTACACACAGGTTTATGGTATTGATTTTCTTGATACTTACTCCCCTGTGGCAAAGATCAATACAATGAAGACATTTTTGGCAGTGTCAAGCATTAGATCCTTGAGCAGTTGGATGTCTCCAATGATTTTCTGCATGGAGACCTTGATGAAGTTGTGTATATGAAATTGCCACTAGGACTAGAAGTACCTTCAGGAAGTGATCAGAAGATGACTTGCAGGTTGAAAAATTCCTTGTATGGCCTTAAGCAGGCATCTAGGAAATGCTTTGCCAAGTTAACAAGCTTTCTCCTGAAGTTTGGTTTTTCACAATATGCCTTAGATTATTCCATCTTCACCATATTGACACATGGTAAGATAACAATACTTTTGGTTTATGTTGATGACATAATTCTTGGGGGAGATTCAAAGAAGGATATAGAGCAGGTGAAGGCAGTCCTAAGCAAGGAGTTCAGGTAAATTGTTGGGACCACATAAATACTTTCTGGGACTAGAAGTCAGTAGAACTTCAAGTGGATTAGATGCCAAAGGAACACTACAAAAAAGACAGTCATTAGTGACAAAAATTAGCGATGACAGGCCAAATTCGTCGCCAAAAACGACTTTTAGGGACGACGCTCCACTTTCGTCAATAACGTTTCGTCAAAAAGTAATGTATTTATGACAAAACTTATACCTTGTCGGTAAATACATGGATCTTTGTCACTAAGTCTACATTTTTAGGGAGACCCTGGAGCCATGGTTATTTGTGACGAATAAAATTTGGTCGTCTGTAATGGGTCGTTGAAAAAAATATGTATTTGTGACAACGCATATACCTTGTCAGTAAACATAAGAATCTTTGTCACTAAGTCCACTTTTCGAAGGGAAAAGTTGAGCCACGGTTATTTAAGACAAATAAATTTTGGTCGTCGGTAGTGTTTCATTGAAGAAATATGTATGTTACAAAGCATATACGGCGTCGATAAAGAGCCGAATCCTCATCAGCGTGTTTACTTTTCGGATGATAAATTTGTCACCATGGTTATTTGTGACGAATAAAATATGATAATTGGTAATGATTCATCGAAAAAGTATGTATTTGTGAAACAACATGTACTGCATCTATAATTAACTACTAAGTTCATGATTTGGAGAAATAATTTGGCACCATGATTATCTGCGTTGAATAAAATCTTTTTTCATTAATATTTAATCCACAATTTATGTATT